CATCCCTGACCGCTCTCCCAGTTGGCCTAGCGCAGCTCCAGAATGCTGTGGATGCCTTAGCTGAATGGGGCCAGAGCTGGAAGATCGCATTCGAGCCGACAAAGTCGCAAGTCTTGACAATTTCACATCACCGTCAACCCTGGCCGATTCCTCCAGCCACTTTCAATGGGGTGGCCATAGAGGAAGTGGAGGAGCTGAAGTTGCTCGGAGTGCTCTTTGATCGGAGCCTCTCCTTTCGCTCCCACATCCGACAGGTTGCAGTCCGTGGTCACCAACGTCTTGGCTTCATGAGGAAGGCCCTGCCCATTCTCGACAGCAAGGCCAAGTATGCAGTGTATCGCGGCTTCGTCCGCCCAGTACTTGAATACTGCCCGCTTTCATGGTTGGGTGCGTCCCAGTCTACCCTGAACCAGCTGGACCGGGTACAGCACCGAGCCCTAAAACTCATCGGCCCAGGGTCATACCTCCCAAGCCTCACTGTTCGGCGTCAAGTCGCAGCACTCACATTCCTGTACAAGCTGCATTGGATCGACGGTCCCCCAATCCTGACCACCATGACACCACCGAGGGCAGTTGCAAACCAGCACCGGCGCTCCACTCGCCACCAGCAAAAGAACCAGCACCAGCACCAACTAGCACCGACACTGCCCGCCGGAGCCCGTAATAGTGCTCTCCGATCATTCCCCCATGCCACGATCCAAGACTGGAATCGTCTCCCATCTGCCCTGCTACGCAACCTTCCCACGCAGAAGGGAATGCAGGCATTCAAGGAAGGCGCCTACAAGTCGCTCCGCAGCCGAGACTGGCGTTCAGCCACAGATGCCCTCTGAACACTCCCTGAACACCCTCTCTGCTTGCACCCTGGCTCCCACCTTTTTATTTTTTTATTTTTTTATTATTTTATTTATTTTTTATTTCTATTTTTTTATTTTTCTTCCTCTCTCACATGTATCATCTTTCCGTTTTTCCTTCCTCTATATAAATGTACCCCCCCCCTCCCCTCCCCCTGTGCCTACTCCTCCCCAGTTTTTGGTGCTCTGAAGTGTCGCTGAAGCCGAGACCTCAGGTCGGCGGAGATGCTCCAGTTTTCACCACCACAGTTGCGTCTGCAACCACCTCTACCATGCAGTATTCTGTTCTCGAGGTTCGTGGTTTCTCGTAAAAAAAAAAAAAAAAAAAAAAAAATATCAGAGCCCCACACTTCCCTTGAAGGAGTGAGGTTGAACTCAAGACGGACTCACAGTTCACTGCCAAGCAACGCACATCCCGGATAACCAGGTATAGAGTTACAAGGCTGTCTCGCATTATAAAGCATATCACAGCCCCACACTTCCCTTGAAGGAGTGGGGTTTAACGCAAGAAGGACTCATCGTACACTGCCAAGCAACACACATCCTGAATCACCAGGTATGGAGTGACAAGGCTTCCCCACATTATCAAGCATATCAGAGCCCCACACTTCCCTTGAAGGAGTGAGGTTGAATGCTAGACTGACTCATCGACTCGTTCACTGCTAAGCAACGCACACACCGAATTACCGGGCGTGGAGTCACTTGGCTGCCCCTCATTATCAAGCATATCAGAGCCCCACACTTCCATTGAAGGAGTGAGGTTGAACTGAAGAAGGACTCATAGTACACTGCCAAGCAACACACATCCCTAATCACCAGGTATGGGGTGACAAGGCTTCCCCACATTGTCAAGCATATCAGAGCCCCACACTTCCCTTGAAGGAGTGAGGTTGAATGCAAGACTGACTCATCGACTCGTTCACTGCCAAGCAACACACATCCCGAATCACCAGGTATGGAGTGACAAGGCTTCCCCACATTGTCAAGCATATCAGAGCCCCACACTTCCCTTGAAAGAGTGAGGTTGAATGCAAGACGGACTCATCGTACACTGCCAAGAAACACACATCCCGAATCACCAGGTATGGAGTGACAAGGCTTCCACACATTATCAAGCATATCAGAGCCCCACACTTCCCTTGAAGGAGTGAGGTTGAATGCAAGACTGACTCATCGACTCGTTCACTGCCAAGCAACACACATCCCGAATCACCAGGTATGGAGTGACAAGGCTTCCCCACATTGTCAAGCATATCAGAGCCCCACACTTCCCTTGAAGGAGTTAGGTTGAATGCAAGACTGACTCATCGACTCGTTCACTGCCAAGCAACACACAACCCGAATCACCGGGCATGGAGTCACTCGGCTGCCCGGCATTATCAAGCATATCAGAGCCCCACACTTCCCTTGAAGGAGTGAGGTTGAACGCAAGAAGGACTCATCGTTCACTGCCAAGCAACACACATCCCGAATCACCAGGTATGGGGTGACAAGGCTTCCCCACATTATCAAACATTTCAGAGCGTCACACTCCCCTTGAAGGAGTGAGGTTGAATGCAAGACTGGCTCATCGACTGACTTCGAAGCAACACATATTTCCTGCAAATGAACGGGCCTGGAATCATTTGGCTTCCCCACATTATCAAGCATATCAGACGGCCACAGTTCAGCACTGAGCAATTCACACAGCGAATCACTGGGTTTGTAGTTACTAGGCTGGCCCTACCGTTTACAAGTTACTAAGAAAAGGATATCTACAATGCGGGAACACAGATTTCTACAATTTCCAATAAAGGCAACTTACTTACCTTTTTTGCGCTCGACATTTCGCTATCGGTTGATGTGTTCACTTCATCTTTCCCTTCCGAATTTGTTCAAGCACTAGTGGGGGTCCCTTTTCCGTGAAAGATTTCTTTCGACAGTCCTAGTGTCATTATTGGTAAACTAATCAAATTTTACTGTCCATTCAAGCGGCAGCTAGCTGCCGCATGGAAGCAGGCTCTACCTTTTCCACAAACAAAAAATGGTAGTTTGTTTGATGCAAATGCAGGCGCTAGCCTCGGACAGCTGCACAGACGGAGATGCAGTTCTCATCGATTATGAGGCGCATGCGTGCTGAGTCGGTGTTGTGCCATTATTTTTCTTCCGGCGCGAAAACCAGCTGAAACCAGTGCAAACGTGCATGGACCGGTCGTAGCTGCATGAAACTGGTTAGAACCTGATGAAAGTGGTTGGAACTGGATGAAACCGGTTAGAACCTGATGAAAGTGGTTGGAACTGGTTGAAACCGGATGGAACTGGGTGTAACTCTTACACTGGGTCCGGACCTTACTTGACCTGGACGCACTCAGATCAGATCAGATCTCTTCGCGCACTCCGCTTGCATGGTTACTATGGTTATACTGACCTGAAATGCAGTTGTTTTGCCAGCACTAGCACTACAAGCACTATTACTAATACAGTAGTAGCAGGCAGTAGACCACGGCTACGAGTAGATCTACGAGTATACCGTATTTCCACAAATAGTAGGCCGGTCTACTATTTTTTCAACCTCGTCCTAACCCGGCCTTATGATCGAGGACGGTCTTGTATTCGAGGACGGTCTTTTATTCTTTCAACCCAGTTTGACCCCGGTCCTCTATTTCTCGCCGCACAGTTTTACCCCCGTTCTTCCATTTTCTTCTACACAGTTTGAGCACGGTCTTCTATTTTTCCCACAGTTTGAGCACGGTCTTCTATTTTTAACACAAGAACAAAGTCTCGTTTAGTAGGCCCGGTCTTCTAATCGGAGACGGTCTTTTATTTTTTCAATCGGACCCTGCCCCGGCCTTATATACATGTACGAGGAAGGCGTTGTAAACGAGGACGGCCTTTTATTTGCGGAAATACGGTAATCATCATAACTAGTAGTAGTACTAGTAGTAGTAGTAGTAGTAGTGTCTACCAGATCTACACTACACTCTATACTATAGACTAGTGAGTAGTGTGTTCCCCGGCCCAGGTGCACTTAGCGGGCACAGTCTGTGTGACCATGGTGACACCTACATGTACAATGACTAGACTGTATAGCAGGAAATTTTCGGACGGAAATATTTTCGGACAAAGCCGAATTTCGACCTTTCGTACGGATTTTATTCTCATACAGTACTGCATGCTAAATGCACGTACTTGCAAGCAGTACGCCCATGTACACTGTATAGTGTACATAATTTCACATGAACAAATTATTATTTTAGTACAAAAGAGGCCGTGCGCGTGTACGAAATCGTTAGAAAATAGATTCCGTCCGAAAATTTCCTGCTACTGTATACAGTAGTCTTATACTGTATTAATAGGCGTATAATTATGACTAGTGTATGTAGCCATCACTATACAGACTGTAGACAGTACTCAGCAGGTCTACACTACAGCACTACTGACGTCACTACTGTCACTACACTAGTCACTACAGTACAGTATACATGGTATATGTACTAGTCAGTATACGCTACCACAGACGGATGCACCACGCGTAGGTCTACTATTGTACTAAGTACACAGTGGTCTACGCGTGCAAAGACTGTCGACATGACTGTCATGTTGGGCCATGGCCAGACTGCCTAGCCCAGTAGACCTACTTCATGCAGTAGGTCTACACATGGTAGATCTACAAGTAGATCTACAACATGACTACAATCATGTGGGCATGAATCGCTAGCCTGGGTCTGGCCCTGGCTGGGCCTGGCTGGGATCTGGCCTTCGCTTCCAGGAGCGGAAGTCAAAACTCAAAGTCCTCGTTACCGTGTTACAGACAGTGCAGTGTGACTCAATCGAAGCCTGAAACAACCAAGCTCCCCAATGCGATGCATAGATCTACGTGTAGCGCTAGCGGAGGGTGCGTGTGTGAGAGTAGATGCGTGCTTCGGTCAATACCGACACCGTACCAGTCACCAGGTCGCGGCGGTGACCGGTGAGCTCGCAGCTGCACTGAGCGGGACATGCGGAAGCGTAGATCTGCGCACTGCCGCCTAACCCATACTGTAATCATGCCCACTGCACTGCAGCTCTAGCTCTGCGGACAGTCACACAGACCTGCGCAGCGAGCACAGCTACACCGAGCTAGCAGCAAAGCTGGGAAGTAAAAACTAAAGAAGTAAAGACTCAAGTATCGCAGTAGTATAGCGGTAGGAGTGGAGCCAGAGGCTTGTCGTCGTGCTGCTGCTTCCTGCCTTCGACCAGACTATGATTGTCATCCTGAGTATCTACACTGCAAGCGTTTCCTCGGCGAAGCAAGCAAAAATTTATTTGTGGCGAAGCAAGCTAGAATTTATTTGTGGCGAAGCAAGCTGGAATTTATTTGTGGTGAAGCAAGCTAGAATTTATTTGTGGCGAAGCAAGCTGGAATTTATTTGTGGTGAAGCAAGCTAGAATTTATTTGCACAATCTTACTACTAGTATTTGCCTCTACGTGACTAGAACATAGTGGTCAGAACAGGCCGGTTATTGGCAAGCGTCGTGCCTAGTCCGTAAATAACGTAGTCATGAAGGAATGCAGCAGGTCGCTATTTCTACCTTCAAATGCTACATCTGTGGAAGAGGATAGGTTTCTAGCGCGTTCACGGATTTATTCAGACATGGACTTGGAAGAAAGGTGAGGTTGAAACATAGCTGTACAAATACACAACTAGGTACCATGGTTACCTGGACATGAATGCTGCTAAATTTATCACTGAATAAATATCAAGGTCAAGCTAGCTGTTGGTGCCAGCACCGCCGCTACTGTTGATGCTGTCACCACCAGCAGAACTGCTGCTGACGCCCCACACCACCGCTACTGCTGCTGCTGTCACCACCAAATTACCGCTGCTGCTGTGGCTGTCGCCACCAGCAACGCCTCTACTGCTGCTGTTGTCACCACCAGCACCGCCGCTACTGCTGCTGTCACCACGAAGTCACCACTGCTGCTGTGGCTGTCGCCACCAGCAACGCCTCTACTGCTGCTGTTGTCACCACCAGCACCGCTGCCGCTATTGCGTCACCCCACACTGCCGCTACCGCTGCTGCTGCTGCTGCTGCTGCTGCTGCCACCACCAAATCACGGCTGCTGCGGCTGTCGCCACCAGCAACGCCTCTATTGCTGCTGTTGTCACCACCGCCGCCGCTATTGCTGCTGTAGCCACCAGAACCACTGCTGCTACTGCTGCTGCTGCTGCTGTCGCCTACAGCACTACCGCTGCTGCTGCTGCTTTCGCCACCCACACCTCCCCTTCTGCTACTGTCCCCACCAGCACCTCTGCTACTGCTGCTGTCCCAACCAGCACTGCCTTCTGCTGCTGCTGTAGCCACCAAGACAGCTGCTGCTGTAGCCACCAACACAGCTGTTGCTTGAGAACGGGTTTATTCACAACACCAATTGGGCCAATCGCGTGAAACCATGAAGTAAAAGTCAGGGATGAATTTATCCGGTATCGCATCGCAGTTTGCTACGCCAAATCGATCTACTGCTACTCAAAATCACAGTGACATGCAGAAAACTGCCATACATACACATACAGGCTATCCATGCCTTTTTGTAGCTTACGCCACAATTGAGATTTTGCATAGCAAAAACTGCTATGCAAAAACCTGACCGTAAATTCATCCCTGTGAGTCAAAACAAAAAGACAACCCAAATTTGGAAATAAATGGAACACTCATTTGAAATGTAAGATTGAACACAAAAGCTTCACAAGAAATCATTGCCTAATAAGATTGCCTACCGGCATGCAAAGGCGAAGGCATGCCTCTGCCCGTGTCAGCACAGCCGGCGGCAGTATGCTGCAATGGGGCTCCCGAACTTGCGGCGAATGTAAGAGGCCCTGCACCCCTAAAGCACGTGACTGCCCATCGCAGCAGGCAAAACGAAACCCGGGTGCGTAACTCCCCCATCACGGGCCTTCACGGCAGAATATACCAAGTATTTGTTTCTGTCTACAACCAAAGCAGCTAGCAACTTCAGAAATATAGTGGCTTCCTTGCCCGCCACACCCGAGGTCGAAAACACCAGTGGGGTGAATGATGCTCTCTCCACCTGGTTGACTCTGGCACCATACGCCGCCTTCTTCATTCTCTCTTGTGTTCTCAGGTGGCTAAGGATTTCCGGACGAGGCAGCAAGGACGACCCAAGGTCAGTGACCCTTACGTCAAACCGCTACTGCTGTCGCCATCAGCACCACTGCTACATGTCAGCATGAATTTTCCTGGCTCACACCACTTCAAAGTGCATGATTTAGGTTTGGTTTAGTGTCAGTGTACCATCCCAGCACGTTAAGCACTGGGAATGATCTCTATCTACGTTTACACTCCAACAATAATGAGAGGACGAAAAAGTGATTTTTACTCCGAGTTTTACGGTAAGCGATCATCAGAAACAGTAGGGGTGAAACGATTACGCTTTTTGACTATCGAATGACCTGAACCATTATCGATCGGTAATGAATCAAAAAGTCATTCATTACAGTTACACTGAAATGACACCAAATGCCTGGTAATGCTTGCAATTGGCATCAATTTTTGAATTTTTTCCCGGGGGAGGGTAATGAAGAATACTTGTCCCCGATCGTAGCGTCTTCTTGGTTTGTTTCACAATCAAAAAGTCTTTCATTGTAGTTACATTGAAATGGCACCAAATGCCCGGAAATGCTTGCAATTGGCTTCAATTTTTGAATTTTTTTCGGCGGGAGGGCCCCGGACCCCCTTCCATGGCCACCCCACCTCCAAAGTCGGTGCAATGGGCCTGGCAGGTCAAGCATTCCAGCAATCAGCAGTGTGAAAAGAAATGGTTGACACACCCTTAATATGTTTGCATCTATAAGCAATGCTCAAATCTGCTCTGCTCAAATTCTGCTCAAAGTTTGCTCAAATCTCTACCATCAACTTTTCAGCTCCAAGAATCGCGTACGAGCAGAAACAATAATGGAAATTGGTCTCAGGTTTTTAGTATCAGTTACCTGCATGAGCGCCTCAGGATAAAACTTTGAGTTACGCCTTCTTCCAACAGGACCCCTCTATCTCTTTCTTTTGCTACACCCAGAGAATACATAACAATAGAGCATCAAGAGAGGTTCCTTACCTAAAAGTAATAGCAAGAGTCTGTTGAGTGTGTACTTGCACAACATATGCAACAGATGCGATAAGGCGATCTTGCTGACCCTCATAGTCGACTGAAGTAGGTATTCGTGGTGTCCGCGTAACGCCAGTGCCTCGGGGGGGGGGGGGGGGGGCTCACGTGAGTGGGACCCGTCGAGGCTTCAGAATGGTCCTGCAGACTTGGTGGGTGGGTCTACTGAGCTTGAGCCCGGGCTGGCCCCGCTTCAGCCCATACTCCTGAAGCCAAGGCCGTCCCCTATAGCATGCGATCGTCATCCGGTAGCCTGAGACTGGGCACTTGTCGCTAGAGGCTACATGCGGTTATGTACATACAACATGACATAGATACAGGTCTACCCTTGTGAGTACCACATCAGTTACAAGATAAGCTTCGTTACAGTAAAAGTTCGTAAATAAGCACATTTTCTAATTGTCCGCAAACTCCAACGCAGCCATTTACACATTTAGGAAACTTCACTTCTCAAGTCCAAAATCCGAAACTATCTCTTCACTGAGATTCAAATTCAAATTCAAATTTAACCTGGCTCATCATCAGGGAAGTGAATGATGAAATATCCATTGCATAGGTTCTTATTGAACTACATGTATGAAGACAACAACTAATGACACTGAGAAACTAATAAAATGTTAACTTAATGGTGTGAATATGTTAAGTGAAGAATATGAAGTAAGTAAGTGTAGGTGGTGTATGTCTCAGCGGTAAGGTGTGTTTGTGTTTGTGTTAGGGGGGCTTCAATTTAATCTCAGTAGACAGATGCGAATACAGAGTGATGCATTGTCTGGCCACAGTTACATGTCGTCGTGGCAACAGAATAACATGCACTTGAAGTACATGTGTAGAATACAACACCTACAAGTACATCCAGCCAGCAAACTCATCACTGACACAAACAGACTTGCAGTTTCACTTGTAGTGCAAAATACAATACAACACCTACACTCAGACCAAGCACTGTACATACAAGCTTCACACCTTTCACACCTTGTACAGAACGCGACCTCCACCCACAGTCCCTGTTCACAGACGGATTGCCTATCACGAATGAACATAGCTTCACGGATACGTTGATTGACAAGGGATGACTGGGTGTCGAGAGTTGAAGTGTTGGTGACAGGTACTGCGACATCGGTGTGATGTGGGTGGTGATGTGCGTAATGTTCTCCCCATGGTGTTTCCACTGACAATGTCTCACTCTGTATTCGTATCTGTCCAATGAGATTAAATTGAAGCCCCCCCCCCAACACAAACACACCTTACCCCTGAGACATACACCACCTTAACTTACTTACTTCATATTCTCTCTCACACCAATCAGCAGTGTGAAAGGATATCGTTGACAAAACCTTAGTGTGTTTACGTCTATATGCAATGTGGTGTCTGCTCAAATCTCCACCCTCAACCTTTCTGCGCCAAGACTTGGATACATTAATATCAGTTAGGCCGCACGTTTTTTATTTCTATGTTTCTCGTCACCCGCGCGCATACGATTCAGGAGTCTGGAAAAAAAGAAAGAAAAACTGTGCTGCACTGGGGACCAGCACATGCACATGTGCACCCTGGCCTGCACATCGTTTGCAACACACATGATGCGAGGTCGGCAGTTTTTATTGCGCAATCTAGCTCCACCTGCACAGATTGTGACAGAAGCCCCTACCACGTTTACTAGTTGCTAACTTTGGATGCTAGTTTACATGGTGTATTGGTAGATTTTCTCTCGCACACGGTTTTAGATTTTCGGGTCACGGGAAACATAGAGATAAAAACGTGTGGTCTTACCTGCATGAGCGCCTCAGGATAAAACTTTGAGTTACGGCTTCTTCTCACAGTACCCTTTTCTCTCTTTCTTTTGCTACAGCCAGAGAATACATAACATAGAGCATCGAGAGCGGTTGCTTACCTAAAAGTAATAGCACGAGTCTGTTGAGTGTGTACCTGAACAACATATCCAAAAGATGCGATAAGGCGATCTTGCTGGCCCTCATAGTCGACTGAAGTTGGTCTTTGTGGTGTCCGCGTAACGCTCCTTGGGGGGGGGGGGGGAAGGTCACGTGAGTGGGACTTGGTGAGGCTTCACAATGGTCCTGCAGACTTGGTGGGTGGGTCTGCCGAGCTTGAGCCCGGGCTGGCTTGGCTTCAGCCCATACTCCTGCAGCCTGTGGCCGTTCCCCTGTAGCATGCGACGGCCCTCCTGTAGCCTGAGGCAGTGTTGTGCAGTGCTGCACTGCAGAACACTGCACCACACTGCGCAGTGCTGCACTGCACAACACTGCACCACACTGCGCAGTGCTGCACTGCACAACACTGCGCAGTGCTGTACTTCACTGCAGTGCACTGCACAACACTGCGTAGCTAGCATTGCGCGGCCTAGCACCGCACAGCACAGCACCGCACCGCGCAGCACCGCACAGCACCGCACCGCGCCGCACAGCACTGCACCGCGCCGCACAGCAATGTGCTGTACAGTGCAGTGCAGTGCACTGCTATTCTGTGTCTATGCACAGTGGCGGCCAGTGACAACCAAGCACTGTCGAGATCTTGGAGTCCTGAGTCCATCGGCTCTTGCCGCTCCCTGTCTGTGTAACACAGCTAACTTCATGTGCCCACCATGTAACTCCTGCACTTTTGTTGAGCAAATGGTTCGTTTCAATGGTCTTCACTCTCAAGTGTGGGGTTTGATTTTACTGCCAGCTGCTGCAACTGCTGTTGGTGCCTCCACTGCTGCCATTGCCACTGCTGCTGCTGCCTCCACTGCTGCCTCCACTACTGCTGTTGCTGCTGTTGCTGTTGCTGCTGTCTCCACTGCTGCTGCCCCCACTGCTGCTGCCTCCACTGCTGCTGCCTCCACTGCTGCTGCCTCCACTGCTGCCTCCACTACTGCTGTTGCTGTTGCTGCTGTCTCCACTGCTGCTGCATCCACTGCTGCTGTTGCTGTCTCCTTTGATGCTTCCACTGCTGCAGCTGTTGCTGCTGTCACTGGTGATGCCCCCACTGCAGCTGCTACCTTCCACTGCAGCTGCTGCTTGCACTGCAGCTGCTACCTTCCACTGCAGCTGCTGCTTGCACTGCTGCTGCTGCCCTCATTGCTGCTGCCCTCACTGCTGCTGCTGCCCTCACTGCTGCTGCTGCTGCCCTCACTGCTGTTGCTGTCTGCACTGCTGCTGCTACCTTCCACTGCTGCTGCTGCTGCCCTCACTGCTGTTGCTGCCCTGACTGCTGCTGCTGCCCTGACTGCTGCTGCCCTGACTGCTGCTGCCCTGACTGCTGCTGCCCTGACTGCTGCTGCCCTGAATGCTGCTGCCCTGACTGCTGCTGCCCTGACTGCTGCTGCCCTGACTGCTGCTGCCCTGACTGCTGCTGCCCTGACTGCTGCTGCCCTGAATGCTGCTGCCCTGACGGCTGCTGCCCTGACTGCTGCTGCCCTGAATGCTGCTGCCCTGACTGCTGCTGCCCTGACTGCTGCTGCCCTGACTGCTGCTGCCCTGAATGCTGCTGCCCTGACTGCTGCTGCCCTGACTGCTGCTGCCCTGAATGCTGCTGCCCTCACTGCTGCTGCCCTGACTGCTGCTGCCCTGACTGCTGCTGCCCTGACTGCTGCTGCCCTGAATGCTGCTGCCCTGACTGCTGCTGCCCTGACTGCTGCTGCCCTGACTGCTTCTGCCCTGAATGCTGCTGCCCTGACTGCTGCTGCCCTGACTGCTGCTGCCCTGACTGCTGCTGCCCTGAATGCTGCTGCCCTGAATGCTGCTGCCCTCACTGCTGCTGCCCTCACTGCTGCTGCCCTCACTGCTGCTGCCCTCACTGCTGCTGCCCTGACTGCTGCTGCCCTGACTGCTGCTGCCCTGACTGCTGCTGCCCTGACTGCTGCTGCCCTGACTGCTGCTGCCCTGACTGCTGTTGCTGTTGCTACTGTCACCACTGGTAGTGCTGGTAACTTTTCTTTCTTCATGATGGCTGCTGTTAGTCCTACTACGAGTACTGATGTCGTCAAGATTGGTGTGCATGTGTGTGTGTGTGTGTGTGTGTGTGTATGTGTGTGTGTGTGTGTGTGTGTGTGTGTGTGTGTGTGTGTGTGTGTGTGTGTGTGTGTACTGTCAGCTCACCCATGAATGAGCCGGTGTCTCTTGGTGAGAGCACAATCGAGGCTGTTGACAGTTTTACGTACCTTGGCAGTGTCATCCATCGGGACGGGCAGTCTTCGCAGGATGTTCAGTCCTGTCTCGCCAAGGCTTCGCGTGTGTTCGGCAGTCTCCGTGTCCCGGCGTTTGAGAATCGATCGTTATCTCTCTGCTGTCGGCACCGCGCGTACATCGCCCTTGTGCTGACGACCCTTCTGTACGGAACAGAGACATGGATGCCGAAGGCACCGGACCTGCGCTCTCTCAACGCCTTTCATCACCAGTGTGTTCACATCATCGTTGGCATCTCCAGGCGGGACCAGTGGGACAACCGTGTCACCTCCATTACCATGGCCAGAACCCTCGGCATTGACTGTGACGTCGCGGACATCATCCGGGAATATCGACTGCGTTGGCTTGGCCATGTTGGCCGGATGAACGATGACCGTATGCCGAAGCGAGTTTTGTTTGGGGAGCTCCCTGCAACGCGCCCTCACCATGGTCCACGCAAGCGGTGGTGTGACGTCATCATGGATGATCTCCGCTCCATCAGCCCTCCTGTGCCTTCTGACTGCTGGTTTGATGCTGCCCAGGATCGTTCTGCCTGGAGGCAGGTTGCTCATCGTCGTCCTCCCGCCCGTGCTCCCCCTGATCCTGACTCTGGCTTCCACTGCGCATGTGGGAAGGTCTGCCGTCGTCCCGGGGATCTCAAGCGCCACGCTCCGTACTGTAAAGCTAACAGTTAGTCCCTTCGCTATCTTGCCATCGGCAATGGGCACGTTCAAGGTTCAAGGTGTGTACATGGGGTGTGTGTAGCATTATGGTGATAATGGAGATGAATGGGGCATGCAGCTTCGTGCTACCGCTCAAGCTATGCTGCTATGTTTGATAGTGCTGTTGCTGTATGCTCATGCTTTGCCACGGACTACGGTCGCATGCACTGCACATCACGGTGACGAAGTCGGCCAAACATCATTGTGCATGCACGCGTGGTACTCTAGGTGACGTGACACTCTACGTGTCATTGAACGTGACATTCAATGTGTTGGCGACGTGCGACGTGGCATTCACCATGGCATTTATATGTGGCACTCAGTGTGGGTGTTATGTGTGTGTGTGTGTGTGTGTGTGTGTGTGTTTGTGTGTGTGTGCCATATGGTGCAGTGGTATGTGCAGCGATTTCCAATCGATAGGCTGCGGGTTCGGTTCCCGACGACTATGGTCACAGACATCTTTCTTCTCTTTCTCAGACTCCTCCTGACTTTTCTTTCATTCTCCTGGGTGGTTACCAACAGCCAGTGCATGCCGGAGTATGTTGTGTGGTGTGTGTACGGAAAAAAATGAAATACCAAATAGTAGGGATTCACTGGCCAGAAAAAGCCACTTCATAGCGGTGTGGTGTAGACCAGGCTGGATAGTGGTGGTCAATTCTTCAGGCTTGCAAGCTGTTGAATGGTGCAATCCCAGCACAAGTTGCTATTGCTTCTGCCGTACCTTCGCTATTATCGCCTCCGGTGATGGGCGTCAAATGGTCAATGATTTGTGTGTATGTATGTGTTTGTGTGTGTATGTGTGTGTATGTGTGTGTGTATGTGTGTGTGTTTCTGTGTTATACATCTGCTACTGCTCTTTAGACTTGGTGTACGGTTGGCTCATCTTATAGTCTAGCTGACAAACTTCAATCAGTGCCTTCGCAGGGAACATCTCCTCTCGCAGAGAGAGTCCTTCTAGACCAGAGGTAAGCCACAATGCAAATTTGGGTCTGCAGATGCGTGGGCGCGCGCGGATGTGTGTGTGTGTGTGTGTGTGTGTGTGTGTGTGTGTGTGTGTGTGTGTAGCATTATGGTGATAATGCAGATAAACACGTGCACGCAGCTTCGTGCTGCCACTGAAACTATGCTGCTATGTTTGATAGTGCTGTTGCTGTATACTCATGCTTTGCTACTGTCTACAGTCGCGTGCACTGCTCATCACGGTGACGAAACCGGCCAAACATCATTGTGCATGCACGCGTGGTACTCTAGGTGACGTGACACTCTACGTGTCATTGAACGTGACGTTCAATGTGTTGGCGACGTGCGACGTGGCATTCACCGTGGCATTTATATGTTGCGCTCAACAAAGGCGTCATGCGACGTTCGCTCAACGTGTGCTCGGTGTGACTTGCTAGAGCTCGCGTCGCTATAAATTTTGATCCATACTGTGTGTGGATTATTTTTGTCTGCTCGTGTTTCACCCTCCCACCTCCCATTTCTCATCACTCGTTTACTTTGATAAAGTGAAGAAAAGTGGTGTTGGCTACGCTCATTTCCGGCTAGTCACGGCCCTCAGTCGTTGTCCCTCAGACCTTTCGAGACTCTCTTGGCTCCGCCAAGATCCTGCTCTGGCAGTCGACAAGGCTCACACTCCGCTGGCCAGCACTCCCCCGTACCGCAAGTTGCTGTGTGTTGTAGTTAATGTGTGTGTGCATGCGTGCATGCGTGCGTGCATGGGTACGTGCGTGCATGCGTACATGCATGCGTGCATGCGTGCGTATGTGCGTGATGGTAGTTCTGAGATATATTTGGCCGCTTCCTGCAGCTTCACTTGAATAGATAATTAAGTATAGGCAGAAGACACCCACCACATTCCAACTTGTGCTGTTATTTATTCGCTGTTGAAATTCACGTAGGTAAATCTGAAAGTCAAAATAAGAACTGGGAAGCTGGCGTGTGTCGGCAGGTGCATGTGTGTGTGTGTGTGTGTGTGTGTATGCGTGAGTGCGTGCGTGTGTGGACGTGCGTGCGTTCATGTGCATGCATGCATGTACACAGTTGAGCTCGGTTAAATCCTACCCAGAGTGCGCATTTGGCGCTCTGTGGGTGTGCACGTGTGCGTGTGTGTGTGTGTGTGTGTGTGTGTGTGTGTGTGTGTGCGTGTGTGTGTGTGTGTCCCATATGGTGCAGTGGTATGTGCAGCGATTCCCAATCGATAGATTGCGGGTTCGATTCCCGACGATTATGATCACACACGTCTTTCTTCTCTTTCTCAGACTCCTCCTGACTTTTCTTTCATTCTCCTGGGTGGTTACCAACAGCCAGTGCAGGCCGGAGTATGTTGTGTGATGTGTGTGTGTGTGTGTGTGAAAAAGAATGAAAAAAATGAAAAAGACCGAAGGGATTCACTGGACAGAAAAAGCCACTTCATAGCTGTGTGGTGTAGACCAGGCTGAATAGTGGCGATCAATTCTTCAGCCTTGGAGGCTGTTGAATGGTGCAATCCCAGCACAAGCTGCTATGGCTTCTGCTGTAGCATCGCTATCATCGCCTCCGGCGATGGGCGTCCAATGGTCCAATGGTGTGTGTTTGTGTGCGTGTGTGCGTGTGCGTGTGTGTGCCTGTGTACATGTATGTGTGTGTGCGTGTGTACGTGTGTATGTGTGTGTGTGTATGTGTGTGTGTGTACATGTGTGTGTGTATGTATGTATGCTGTGTTTCTTGTATATGTGTGTGTGTGTTTCTTGTATATGTGTGTGCATTCTTAATTCTGCTCGTTCCTGTACAGCTTGCCTGTGAAAATCGTCTCGTCTACCATTCCAAGCGATGAACATGGCTTCATAGCGTGTTTTGTATCGTCTTTGCAAGTCACAATTACACTTACTGTGGTGTGACAGAATGCTACGGTTGCACACATCCAGTTGCAGCTCAAGCCAGAGAGCAGCCAGCATTCTGCTGGTGTATGTGAGCAACGGTTGCTGTTGGAATTGTCCATTGCAGAGAACAGCTTTCCTGACCTGCCGTATGTCACGTGATCCAGTCCGTGCAGCCGCCAGACCTGTGTTGATGGATGCAGCAGCTGTCCTGCATTGTGACTATAGACCTTTGAGGGTATCATGGATATGGATTCTGCTCCTGCAATATTGCCCGTGATCATGATGATGGCCGCCTAGTAGCTAGCCCAGCAGATGTATCAGACCGAGCAGATACAGCAGCTGAGCTAGCCATAGCTACCACTGCAACAGACTCAGCAGGAAGAGCAGTTGCCGTTGCAGCTAACACTGCAGCAGAGACAGTGACAAGAGCAGTTGCCATGGCAGCAACCACTGAAACAGACACAGCAGCAACAACAGTGGCCATGGTAGCAACAAACACCACATCTGCTGCACCAGACAGTGTCTGTATTCGTTTGAAAACTAGTGGGCAGACTGCTCACAGCAGCAATGCCAAAGATCAGTCAGAGGGGCTCAGTCTTCAGCAGCAGTAAACAGCATGCAGTACAATTCACAAAGTGAGCACCTTAGCAAGAAACATGTTGTTTTTCTTCTTCTTTTTTCCACACACCGAGCAGCAGTGGAAGTGGTGCACTCTGTTTGCACATGCCAATTGACTGGTCGAAGTATGTGAGCCCATGGTATCCATCAAATCGCTGAAAACGTTTGGACATCTCTGCCTTTCTGTCATACTTTGGCGAAAGCTTAGTTTTAGTTTCGACTCTCAGACCCAGATTCCGTCTGTTGGAGTGCGCATCCAAGACAGGCTATAGCTGATAGCCAGTTATTTGTAGAACGTCAGTACCGTCATGCAATGTTATCGCATGAGCTGATTGTCAGGTAACTGATGGTAGTGCACACTATAACGTAACTCGTAGTTCCTTGGTCCTTTTCTTTACTATCAATTATTTCCATATTATTGGACTCAAGAGTGCTACGTTGCAGCTAGCTCGTAATCATGAATTTCATACACGTTTGTGTGGTTTTTCCTTCACAGAATTTTGACACTTCGTTCAACCTGTAGACTACGGCGAATGATGATCGCGAAATTGTGGAATCATGCTTCCATGGATGCTCGCACTATGCTCGCAAACACTTTATAATATAACAGATTTTGCGAGCGTTATGTATTTTGCTTTGTAACTGATCCTTTGAAAGCTTTGGGATGCGGGGATATTTATTCAGTGTGTTGTACTTCAGTAATTGTATGTATGGAGCCTGGAAGTTCGGAGAATTGCGTTTGTAATAATTATGTCGTGCTTTAGGAAAGCAGCCGCCATGTGATGCGCTGCAGGCAGTCACTGCAGCCAGTCCCTTGTGTGAGCACTGGTTTGCACAAAACCCGGGTAAACATTACTGGTACAGGCAGTAGTGCAAAACCAGGGTACAGCTCTGCTCAAGATGGCCAGTCACGTCAAACTACATAATTCATTGTACTGTCTGTCTGCGTGTGGCTGAGGTTGTTGGTTGTTGGTATGTCCGTTGGCTCTTGGTTCCCAGTACTCAGTAGCCGTGGCTGGTTGGTAAAGTAACTCCAATTTCATTTCAAGGTACCAGTGCATCTAGTGTCTGCTTCTATCAAAGCAGCTTGATGTCTATTGGTTACCCCAGCAAGTGTAGGGTGTGCACAGGTAGCTGTCTTGGCTGTTGTATGCCAATGTACTCCTAGTGGTGTAGACCAGGTGTGCATTGGTGGTCGATTCACATGGCTTTGCAGGTTGTGTGGATTGGTCAGTTATCTGGCGCTAGATCTGGCGCTAGTCTTGATCTGTCTCATTCAGATCTTGTCCGCTATCGTTGCTATAAGAGAAAACCTGTGGGTGCACATCCGGTGCATTTGCAGATTTGCGTGCTTCTCTTCAGACGTGCGTATACATGGTACATGGTAGACTACATGGTGTGTATACATAATGATAATTATAATCTTTATTTTACATGTACTAGTAGATCTAGCATGTACTTCAGTACTACAATTCTACACTCATTTCTACAATACCCCGGCATATGATAATAAAGCAGTATCTCCACGGAAACTATAATTACTATAATAAGGCCACCCAGAATTAATTCGTTGTTTTGGGTCACTTCACTCACCGGTGCCAGAGTCGGTGGGCGTTTTTCTTTTTTTCTTTTTTGGTTTCTGCCATGCAGACTATGGGCGCATTTGATTACACACATTTCGGTCAACTCTAGAATTAGTTATGGTGGATGCACTGTTCGATTACCCAAATTCAGTCGTCAGAATTGACGGAATCCAATTCCATCACACCCCTCAATTCTGAAGAGAGGGTGGAATTGCTAATTCTCCACCCAGAATCGATGGAATCGACATGCACACCATGCTAGGTCCAAGTACGCGCGAGGTGTACGGGATCCCACGTGATCCCGTTTTACGATTTTTAAGTGTAGCGATTTGGTTACATGGCCGCAAGCCCGGTTTATTCTGTTCATTCGAGAATTATAAACCTGGGTAGGCCTTAGCGGATAATGCCGGCAGAAAAATTGGCAGAATTCGGTACTTTTTCTGGTAAGTTTCATGCATGTTTGGTATGTGGATAAAGAAATGGATCAGAATTCGAGGAATTGCCCGCCATAAGGTTTGTATGGTTCTGCCAATCTCACTGCTTTTCGAGCAGAATCTGCCACCTTTTCGAGCATTATCCGCCAATGCCTAAACCTCGGTCCAAAATACAACCAGAATATCTCCCCTCTTCTTCACCCCGCACAATCTGGCTTCCGTCGTAAGGACAACACATCCCTGCAATTATCCCGCATAATCCAAGACCTCTGCTCCCTAAAAGACCAGCGGCAGGTCTCCTGCATCTGTTTCTTCGACCTCTCCAAGGCCTTCGACACCGTGTGGCACAAGGGCCTGATCGCCAAACTTCGTGCCCATGGTGTCTCCGGCTCCCTACTCACCTGGATAACTAGCTACCTCTTGGACCGAAATCAGTGCGTCACAGTAAATGGAACCTTATCTGACCCCGAGTCTGTGACATCCGGAGTGCCCCAGGGCTCCATTTTAGGTCCCCTGCTCTTCCTCACATACGTTAATGACAGTAGTAAGTGCGGGGCGGGTTCTGGCCCACTTTTTGACCTTTGACCTTTGGGCCAAATAAGGCACACTGTGTCGGTCGTGCTTGCGCTTGGTCTGGCCCCGGGACCCCCCAGAGTTTGACCTTTGACCCCTGGCATGCCATAAATGTGCCATAAAGGTTCTTTTCCGTGGCGAACGTGCACGTTCGGTGCATTCGCACCGGGGAGTAGTAAAATACGTACTATTCCCTGATTTGCACATCGTAGATGTGCATTGCATGCAGTGACATATTGCGCATGCGTGCATACGCACGCGGAGCTTGTGACCTTCAGTGGTCCTATGCGTGTGGAAAAGACGCAGTGCAACACAAGGTGTACTAGTACACGTGTCATTATACTACTCCCTGATTCGCACTTCGTAGATGTGCAGCAAACAAGTTAGTTCACGTGCCATGCACTCGTTTTATTCACACATCGTAGATGTGCACTGACAAGTTGCCCATACAGAGCATGCCCTTAAGAGAATGTTCAAATTCGGCCATATTATGAGCTCCAAGATCAGAATTCGGCTCAACATAGTACTTGAAGTCACCGTTCCCATTACGTCATGTACATTTTTTACATACACCCTGTTGAAGCACTGAAGCATCGGTTTTCGGCGAATTCAACATGCGAATTTTTGAAAATTCGGCGAAAAGATGGGTAATTTCTTCAAAACCACTGTTTTCGGCGAATTTTTCGCCCGGCCGATTAGGGAAATGCCTACTGTCCATGCAGGTCCATTAGATGCAAATTTCTATTTTGATCAGGATACAGTTAGAATCAACCGGCTCCGCCCGCGGTATCATGCATCAAAACAATTATTGAAGGGTGTCACAGTGAAGCAGTGTTGCTACGCACCGCAAATCCCCTCTGCACTGCACCGAATCTTTACTGGAGAATCCAGAGTGACCAGCAAAGAGTCACAACCCGCAGGTATCCAGTCACACTAAGGCATATCCACCATTCCCCACATATTCACTGTAACAAAACACAATACTGTTTACTATAATGCACTTTTATTTAAATGGACTTGGATGAGTCTGTAGAAGAGAACACAATGCACGCACACGCACGCATGCGCGGGCACACACACACACACACACATCTAGGTTATAGTGCTATACACATATCTAGGGTTTAGGAAGCACGAGAATGTGTCGAAGCACCCACACATACCCCTTCATGCAGTGTACTGCAGTAGCCCAACACATTACGACTGCACAGGACCATCACAAAACACATTACGACTGCTATAGCACAGGACCATCACAAAACACTACACACTGTTACTACACTACACACACAGTTACTACACTACGCCTGTTACAAGTACTTACAAATAATTTTGCAACAAATGGCACATCCCGAAGACGGCAGCTCCAGACCTTCATACATCATCATCTGTAAAACCAAACATGAGCGCACACAAACACTATTAGTGTCACGAATACGAAAGCAGGGTAAGACAAGAGGATACGAAACAAGTAAGTATCGCTATAACGAGGGGGGGGGGGGTAAATATACATGTAGACAGAGCAGTGCTTACTTACAGGGTCCTAATACGCTCCAAGGCGTCCCGGTAGTCGGACTGCAACAGCAGCCCGACCTGGCGACCCTCCCAGTAACGGGTTAGATGGGCCGCACCCGCCAGGTGGGCGACCACGGCTGGGCCTCCCACCAGCCTTTCTCCACTGTAAAAAAACGAAAGAAACCACAGAAAGCACAGTGTCATAGAGCTCTTTTGTTGGGGGAGAGAGCTAGGAGCACTGCACACTTACCATTTGTCACAATATATGATGAGAAAGAGGCGGCGCTTGACGCACCGCCTCAGGTGCTGAAACAGGGGTATTACCCCTGACATTCGAACGCTACAGTGACAAGTGAAAGCCATTTGGACTGTAATGATACTGAAGTGAAGGTGTGAACCGCAAAGCAAGACCTTTTACCTTCTTCCTGTCGAATTCGCTCCCCAGCTGCATACCGACATCATCCGCTAAAACCCAATCATACCAAGTAACGCAAAGGTCATCAGTTGACCTTTTGGACTTTTCAACTCTTATCCAAAACCACCAAGAGGAAAAAACCAGGATAAAGAAGACGTCAGTTGTAGAAGCGTTTGTGGAGGAGTTGTTACATTATTCTCAGTAAATAGATATGGCTGATACATTCGGTGTAGACTTGGACGACCGGTCGTGGTCTCTCACCACGGGTCCTTTACTAATAGAAAGGCGGA